GTGCTCGCGCACGTGGCATGGATATTACGCTGATTGTGCATAGTGCATCGTCATCCATCGCCTGACATTTCGAAGGATGTATGAATAAAATTAAAAGCGTAATGAATATTAATGCAGAGAATAAAAATAGAGTAGAATATATCCTAATCTATCTAATTAACATGAATGAAGTTGAAATTGAAGTCAAATTCGTAAAAATTATATTAACATGAAAATATCAGTACTTATTGTTCTTGTATTTTGTTCAAGCTTGTATTCCAAACTTGATTGAAAATCTGTAATGCATGTAACGTAAACTATAGATTTTCAGCGCTGACAGTAAATTTGGAACATAGCCAAGATTTGTAAATTGCGAGTATTAGCTTGAAATATACATGTATCAATGTTCACGCATATTGTCTTCTTTCTTTTAATGAAGCTAGAAAAAAGAGCTGTGAATGTTCGCAATACTCATTTCATAGTTTCCATTCTTATTGTTTATCAAATGTTAAAGCCTATTCTACAATATGATCTTTGTTTCCTATTTCTTGTTTTTTATCTTTTACTTTTTTCTCCTTTACAACCGTTTTATTAACAATTGTATTTTTTGCTACGTATTTCTTGTTTTTTTTTGAAGTTCATTAACTTTTATCTCGGGCGATATAAAAAAAAACCGGATAAGAAACAAAAAGACAAGATGTAAAAAATAATAAAAGGCAAGAAACAAAAAGCACATTGTAGAACAGGCTTAAATACAGAATAAATGTTTTCAACTCTCGATGAGCTTTCTTACTTTAAAATGCAGCTCTCCGACTGATTTATGACATTTTAAGGCTGTACTTAAGATAGTTTTAAATACAAGAATTGACTATGTGAACCGGTATGCTTTAGACTGCACTGCTGCAATATTACACATATCGATCGTTATTTACTTGGTAAAATGCAACACAAACATATTTTTTTGCTCTCATTAATTTTCCTACCGATCATTTCGTACTTATTTTTAACTTAAAACGCTACAAAACACATCAGAAAGTGATCGTGATTCAGTTATATCGCCTATTCAAAGAAACGCGATGTATGTATATATTATGTGTGTGTGTGTGTGTGTGTGTGTGTGTGTGTGTGTGTGTGTGTGTGTGTGTGGGTGTGTGTGTGTGTGTGTGGGGTGGGTGGTGTGTGTGTACATAATCTATACTTTATTATCTCCGTATGACGTTTACTTAACCCCTAACAAAAAAAAAGTATACATTTTCACGCTAATCATGAACACTAACGTTATTCTTTCGAATATTCGGTGATCAGTAAAAGTATTATCCTTGCCTGTATTTGTCTTCGCATGTCTTATTAAGTGTCATAGACACCTACCCTGGAAAAAACGTAAAAATGACATATCTGTCAAGGCAGCCCACTTTCGTCTTAGTGCGAGTGTCCTAACACTCCTGATACACCGCATTGATCCTCGTACATAAAATAGCATAATGTAAAATTGATTACTAATAATGTTTCTTGTTACAATGAATGTGATAATTTTAGATTCAAGATCGTATTCCGGAACTGAGACAACAAGATCGGTGATCTAACAATCGACAACCACGTTATGATCAAAGTCACAATCACATAAATGGTGAGTAACAAAATCGTTCATCTCTAGATATTAAATTTTGTATTATTTGTATACAATCTTTTATACGTTTATACGTGAAATATTGAAGTCGACGAAATTTAATTAAAAATGATGATTGCAGCAGGTATGGAATTTCGACGAGGCGGAAACGGTGCCGTTGACAGAAATGACGGAGTACGCAACCAATTTATCAACCACCAGTGCAAAGAAGCCACAATTCTCTGCCAATTAATAATCAAAATAATACTCAACATAATTCTTTTAATGTAACTCTAGTCTCGCATCTTTAGTAAAAAAAAAAGTAAATTCAGATCTTGCTAAGTATTGAGGCAATGCATTCGCTACTGAGGATTGATCTAACAGATTGCCACATTAAGAGTTTAGATACCATTTATATTAACCGTTGTTAGGCGGCAAGCTGGTACCACATTTGAGTTCAAGAGTAAAGTTGAATTGAATACGAACTTAATATGAAGCAAGTTGGTTTTTCACAAAAAGGGGGAATTAGGAGGCTCTTACTGTAAAATATCGATTGTTTTCGAAATATTATATTATTTGTATTGTAGGTAAATTGATTCTTACCACTGCAAAACAGGGTAGTGCCTGTACCTCGTCCACTGTAGCTGTAATACATTTGTAATGAAATCTCGCTCGTTTCATTTTTCCGTACCTACAATCATCGAGAAAGAGAGAAAAAGAATATTTCGAAAATATAACAAGCTAAATTAATTTTGTATATCTGAATATTAATTGGAATCAATAAATTAAACTGAAATAACTTTTAAATTAAGATTATGTTTGATATTAAATCTTATTTAAAATAAATTGTTAATATAAATTTTGAAAATTATGTTTTCAAATTTAAATACCTAGTCTAATATTAATGAATATAATTTTGCAAAATTATCCAGAACGTAAATTTTCTTTATTTTAATAGCGACATAAAATATATTTAAAATTTTTAATTTAGGGATTTTTGCTAATTGATAACAAATATTGTTTTAGGCAAGGGTTGATTAAAGTAAAGGCCTTTTCATGCTAACGCTCGACACTAATTTTCGGCGTCAAAATAAGTCACATGATCAAAATTGATGGTATTCGTTAATTTTGATCACGTAACCTATTTTTGACGCTCAAATCGAGCGTCGAGCATCAGCTGAAAATGCAGCTTTAGACCAATATTACATGCGTCCATTTTTTGTCGTACGATAAATTTTTCAAGTCTATTGATTGGCAAAGAGGTCTGAGATCCTCTCTATCTTGTAGCCAATTAACACACTTGAAAAATTCGTCGTACGACAAAAATGGATGCATGTAATATTGGTCTAAAGCTGATAGAGAACAATAACTACAAATAGGTCCAATTTATCCGACTTTTTCCTATTATAAAACTGCTTATACTGCCTGATAGAAGATATTTTTTAGTTTGTACTTATGTTTTCAAAATTTTATTTTTATCTTTTATTTAAGAAATATTATTGTTTAAAAACAAAATGATATGTTGGTATCGACGACTTTCCTCTACTATCAAAGATTGTATTAAATTAAATTTGTATTTTGATGAAAAATAATTAACGAAATAAAATAAAAAAATTAAAAATATAAATATAACGTGGAATAACAAATGTATAAATACTTACACGCAAAAACGAGCCACCATAATTTATAATAATTCGTTTTTTTTTTTTGTGTTGATGAATATATTTACGAAGAATGATGAAGGACTTCTAGAATTTAAGTACACATTTTAGTCTTTCGAGCTGTTACTTTAAAATTACCGCGGTGCAAATATTTAAATGGTCGTATTTGGAATTTGCGCAGAACCGTACGAGATTTGTCTCGGGAACGAGCACACCCATCGTGCAAATATGTATATTTCTACCGTGAGCACCCCTATCTTGCTTTCTTCATGAATCATGACAGAGAGCAACAGAGCCCTAACCAAAAATATGCTCTGAAAATTAAAAGAATCATATATCTACGAATAATATTATAAGAATTGAGTTTTGTATGTATTAATAATTGTTTCACAGTACAACATCTGATTAACAATGCGGCTTGGATTGGCTCTATTAGCAGCCAGCCATATAAATAAAATACCATACAGATTCAGAGGGTAAGTTCTTTTCTTTCATGAGAAATAATTCTCATTTAATTTAACGAGTTAGGAATCGTTTAATTTTTCATAACGTACAATATTACTTTGTATCGTCACGTGGAATACTCATAACTCTGTAAATCTTTGCTTCATGCAGGAAATATCGTATAGTAAAAAAACCGTCTATGCATGATTTACTTAAGATGAAGAAAGATTTCGAGAGAGAAGAGCAAAACATGTTGATTCTGCGGCACCCCTATCTCACAGTTGAACAAAGTCAAGGTCACATGAAGGACATGTATCCCAAAACCAGAAAGCAAAACTTTCTCGAGAAGGTAAGGGCAGAAAATCGTCAGAAGTTCCAGAAAGAAATTACTATCGCCGAACGTCTGTGCCACATGAGAGTTACAGAAGCGTGGGATTGAAATCTTTCTACAGATATATGTAATTATATTTCGTGAATTGTTTTAGATTTAAGTTAAATCTCTGAATCCAAGAACATTTAATTTTCTTTTTTTTTGTTTTTGTTTTTGGTAATATTTTGGATCAGCACAGTGCCGAGTATATTACAGGAAGAGTAAAAGTATAGAGTAGAGAAAAGATAGCGTAGTGAAATATGTTACATAAGTTTATCTATTAAGATTGTCATACATTGCAAATTACAAAGTAAAAATTAAAACTAATACTGTAACATTGTTTAAGCATTAAATTATATTCATGTTAAACAATTCAAACTTAAGCATCGACTGAAAAGCTTTCTTGAAACCGAGTTGATAGATTTTTTGGTTTATTTCTCATCCAACCAAACGGATCTGTATTAATTTCTTCTTCTGTTAAGATCTTTCCCTCATAAAGTAAATTTGCAAAATCTGCCACAACTGGATCGGCATTAACACTGCTAATTCCTATTACTTTGCCACCTTTAAGATAATAAGCGAAGAATTCCAGTTTATCCAGTGAGCCATAAATCTTTATACTAATAGGTTTTCCGTAGCCTGAAAATAAATGGATAAAGATTGTTTAATTGTTACTTTTTTACAAAATTCAGTTATTACAATTTCAAAATATGTGTGTAGAAACATGTTATATATATGTAAATTTACCTGCATATCTGTAATTCCTACCCAGTAAATTTGTCCAGAAGAATGGTACAGTCTTCAAAGAAGTTTCTTTACTGCATATATTTAGAGCCGCTATTTTTCCATGATAATGAGCTAGAGAATAATGACCTATCGCAGCAAAAGTGTCGTCAGATCCATATATCGGTGCATAAGCTATGTCACCTCCAGCATATATATTTTCCACATTTGTCCTTAAATGCTATAATTTGAATGATATTCAATTATCCAATATGAAGTATATACTAAAACAAGTACTGTGTTTTCAAATGTTACCTCATTTACTGGAATAGTGCCATCGTCTCTCATTGTGACAGAAGATGTTTTCATCCAATCAGTGTAAAAAGTGGATCCTATTCCAACGATAACTATATCTGCTGGTAGAATCTGGCCGTCTGTAAGTTCGACCTTAGCTAAAACATTCTCTTCACCTTCCTTAGGAATAAATTGCTTAATATTATTTTGGAAGATAAACTTCACACCTGAAAATTTATCATTTATTATTATTATCTAATCAACACTAATGCAGACCAAAATGCAATGTATGTTATGTATAACATATAATACCTTTTGCCTCATGCTCTTTTTTAATTCTATTACCAATAACCGCGCCGAATATCTCTCTGAAGGGTACAGTATCCCATCCTATTACTGTGACAGACGCGCATTTATCGATACAATAAGCCGCGCTTTCCATGCCAATAAAGCCTAATCCTAGAACAACTACATGTTTCTTGGGGGATAGAAGTGCTTGTACGCCTTGTGAATCTGTGTAATCTCGCAGAACAAAAATATTTGATAAATTTGCTCCAGGCACATTTAACATTCTCGGTTTACTGCCTGTGCAAATAAATAAATAATCATACACGAAATTCTCGTTATTACTCAGCTTGACAGTATTTTCAGTCGTATCTAAACCTATAACAGAATAAAAAAAATGTAGTGCAGAATACGAAGTAACATAATTTATATATATATTATAAATATATATTGAGATCGATATTCGCCTTTTGTATGTACCTATTGCTTTTACTCCCAGTTTCGTTTCAATATTATGTTCCTTGTAAAATGAGGGCGATCGTAATGTCGCAGAATGAACGTCGAAATCTAATACTTTGGATACCTTTATTCGATCATAAGGTATTACGTTCTCTCTGCATATCATAATGATGCGTCCTGTAAAACCCTCCTGTCGCAAACTCTCTGCACAGGTAGCACCCGATGGTCCACCACCAACTATTATGACAGTCTTTGTATTTTCAGGATCACGTGCAGACATATCCTTCATACGTTTGTTATTGTTCAGCTCTGTATGTTTGGTTCTTACGTGGACAAGACCACTCTTGTCTACGCGAACCTATTAAAGCAATACATAGAGATAACATGTTAAACAAATATGGTATAAGAATAAGAACAAAATCTTGATATGTTTATAAATTACTCGAGTACCTTATAGCATGGTAAAGAATCCAAGCCTGGATAATCTTCAATGTCCCCAGTTTTAATATTGAAACATGCACCGTGCCATGGACATCTCACTCGTCCTTCCCCTAACGCGCCGGTATGTAGCAAGGCACCATAATGCGTGCATTTGGTACCAATCGCGTGCAATTCTCCATTCTGTTTAATCAACAAAATTTTCTTTTCATTATTTCCCAACGGTAGCATTTTCATCTCATTTTCGTTGATATCTTCCTGTTTGCACACCACTTCCTCAATGTAGGTGTCATGTTCTTTTGAGGTATCTAAGAAAAAGTAAATAAAAAGTAATTTATAACTATTAGTATATAAAAAATAATTTGTAATTTATAATTTATTTATAATAATACCTATTTATAATAATTATTTGTGGCTTATTATAAACGCGTATTATTGGAGAACAAATTTTGAGGGAATTACAAGAGTAAACCACTGTAACTATGAATCATAATATAGTCAATCCTATATTAGCATGTAGATATAATCATAGACAAATATAAAATCGAACATGTAATATTTTTTAATAACTGTATATGTAATCAACCTAATGCACACAATAGAGTTCAATTTCTCCTTTATAATAATAAACAATAGAATATTCAGGACAAATGACTAATTTACGAGCTTGGACGCATTCAGGTTCCCAATTTCCACCTGAGTATTTCTTAAGTATCATTTTATCCTTGTTTAACATTCGATGAACAAAAATAAAATGATACCTGGCATTCGAGTGGGACTTTGAACAGTCCTTGAAATTTGAATGGCACGCGGTATCTCCTATCAATTGCATCGTCAAATATTTCCATTGCGACGCAAAAATTCTAGTAAGAAATACAATAAATATATAACTTGCGTCGATTATGTAACGTAGCATATGAATATAAGGAAATCTTGGAGGAAATCTCTGTTATTATCTCGTACGTGAATCGGGAGTCGTACTCTCTGATAGATTATCAGTGATTTAATGAATGACAATTATCGGCGATAACATTCCCAGAAAGAGAGAGAGAGAGAGAGAGAAAGAGTTGCAGAGAGACAATGAGAGAGAGACTATCTCGTCAGGGGACGATTAAATTCCCTGTTGACTTCGTCGTGTAAGTGCTCGTGCACGTGGCATGGATGTTACGCTGATTGTGCATAGTGCATCGTCATGCATCGCCTAACATTTCGAAGGATGCATGAATAAAATTAAAATCGTAATGAATATTAATGTATAGAGTAAAAATAGAAAAATATCCTAATCTATCTAATTAATATGAATGAAGTCGAAATTAATCAAATTCGCAAAAATTATATTGACATGAAAATACCAGTACTTATTGATCTTGTATTCTGTTCAAGGGCTTGTATTCCAAAATTGATTGAAAATCTGTAATGCACGTAACGTAAACTATAGATTTTCTGCGCTGACAGTAAATTTGGAATACAGCCAAAATTTGTAAATTGCGAGTATTAGCTTGAAATGTATCAATGTTTACGCATATTGTCTTCTTTTTTCTAATGAAGCTGTGAATATTCGCAATACTCATTTCATAATTTCATTCTTATTGTTTATCAAATGTTAAAGCCTTCTACAATGTGCTTCTTTGTTCTTGTTTTTTATCTTTTACTTTTTTCTACTTTGCAAATGTTTTATTAACAATTGTATTTTTTGCTTCCTGTTTTTTTTGGAGTTCGTTAACTTTTATCTCGGGCGATATAAAAAAAACCGGATAAGAAACAAAAAGATAAGATGTAAAAAATAATAAAAGACAAGAAACAAAAAGCACATTGTAGAACAGGCTTAAATGCAGAATAAATGTTTTCAACTCTCATGAGCTTTCTTACTTTAAAATGCAGCTCTCCGACTGATTTATGACATTTTAAGGCTGTACTTAAGACAGTTTTAGATACAAGAATTGACTATGTGAACCGATGTGCTTTAGACAGCACTGCCGCAATATTACACATATCGATTATTTACTTGGTAAAATACAACACAAATGTGTTTTGCTCTCATAAATTTTCCTACCGATCGTTTCGTATTTATTATTTATTTTTAACTTTAAACGCTACAAAAAACACATCAGAAAGTGAGCATGACTTAATTATACCGCCCATTCAAAGAAACGCGATGTATATCTATATATATATACAAAATCTATATTTTATTATCTCCATATGACGTTTACTATAACCTCTAACGAAAAAAAGTACACATTTTCACGCTAATCACGAACACTAACGTTATCCTTTCGAATATTCGGCGATCGGTAAAAGTATTATCCTTGCACTCTCATTTGTCTTCGTATGCCTTATTAAGTGTCATAGACACCTACCCTGGAAAAAACGTAAAAACGACATATCTGTCAAGGCAGCCCACTTTCGTCCGAGCGCGAGTGTCCTAACACTCCTGACACACCGCATCGATCTTCACAAGGTAAAGCACTGAAAACCTACTATGATTCGAACATTTCGAACGCCCGTCCTCGTGCTACATAGCATAACAAACCGTTTCTTATAAAGTGCTAATCACCATCTAGTTGCGTGTAACCGGCCGGCCGTCATTAATCAACCATTTTAACGTGATCCGTCTCTTGTAAGAACATTAGGAAATTCCTTTTAAAATTGAGAAATAGATGGTGCTTTTTAGTAAGAAACCCACAGTATATCATAGTGATCATTTCGTCTTTGTCTGATATTAGTATTTTTTTTTTATTGAGAAATAAATTTATAGCCTTCAGATACCAATAAGGTTTTATGATTCATTATGTTACATTCCGTCACCTATGTCTCTTATTGGAAAGCACCTGATTCTATTGGTTACCGTGCGAGTTAAAGGAAATAAGAAAAGAAGAGAGGCGAAAGGGCAAAAAGAAAAATAGAAGAAAGGACAAAAGAGAAGAAGGAGAAAAATAAATAAAAACAGAAAAAAAAGAAGAAAAAAGAATAAAAAGGAGCAAAGAAGAAGAAAAACGAAGAAAAAAACTTTTAACACGATATATCAATCTACCGCTATGTGTAAGGAATAGAAGTAACTTTGTCTCAGATTTTACAACATGATCCTCGCAGTTTTTCCCCAGAATAAGTTTTCCTCGCGCATAGTACACACCTGTTGCGGCGGATGTGTCTCGAGTGTCTCGACTTGAGCCGGCGCTTCTCCGGAAGGTTTTGCAATTACCCGCGCCCATGCTGCAGCCGTACGCGAACTGACAAGACTGATTGTGAGATTGTGAGAGCCGAGGAACGTGGGAGAGGCCGTGTATGCCTTGTGTCTTATGGATCGACCATGATCGTCTGTCTGTTGTACGTATAGATCCCCCTCGTGATCTACAATCGTGTGAGCGTACACGGCCTTGAGATGTTCGTAGTGGCGACGGTATTTCGGACTCTCATTGAAGACTTTTACATTGCGATTGAAATACGCTCCTTGTTCTCAGTTCATCGCTCGTTCTCCGGTCTTTCGATTGGAAAAACGATCAACTCTTTTAAGAATCAGCGCGAAACAATGATCTAGAAAATGTAATCAGTTCCAAGTGAATTCAAGGAACCGCAGCGATGAGATTATCGTGACTCATTCTGTTACGACGCACTTATTTTTGAAGGAGAGAGAACGAGGAATATATTACTCGTTCGCGGCTGGAATTGCATTCCGGGAAGTCACTCGAATCCGCAGGCGCAATGAGAATGCTCTATGGATTGATTTTCAAGAAACGCTCGATATACTTCTTGCTAATTATTTATGGACCGCTTCTTCTTTTTCGAAAGATTTCTATTTTAGAAGATTTTAGAAAAAAATGTATATGCGAGCGTATACATTGTAGTTTAGATTATTTTTATATCTTTATGATGACTAAAGCATTTTGTGATCACTGATATTATTTCGCACGTCTATTAGTTGTATATAAGATAATTAAAATAAGATAATTAAAATAAAAAATTCAAGCAAATATCGAGGAGAGATATCGCGATATCGTCGGTGTTGTGATAACAAGAAGTTAGAATATTATATTGATCGATTTTTGACCGAATTTATGTTTTTTATCATGATTATTTATCAATATGATATTATTTTGATTTTCTTGTTCTCTTTAGGTTACAAATTTGCTCAACGAACATTTTTAGGAATTTTGCAAACGAAAATAAGATCAGCTAGGAAACAGGTATGGATATATGTCAGTATACTAGATAAAAGCGTAAGAGGATCTTCGCATAAAAGAACATTTGTAATGCATTATGTTAAACTAAAGCTTGTAAATAACAGTGAAACATCATGCAGAAAAAAATAATGTAACATTAAATATTATGTTATAATTCTCTTTGTGCGTTGTGATGTAAACTTACTGTTATTATTATACGTACAGGTTTCAGTTTATGACTCAGTACTTAACGTGCATAACGTAACGCATTACGGATGTTCTTGAGCGGAGAGCATGAGAGATGCGTTATAGATGGAACCCGTTTACTAGCTCCTCTACATGCATCAGACGTGCACGTTGAACTATGTAGCTACGGATATTTCCGACGGATAATACATGCACAGTCTTTGATTTTGTTCCATGCTAGGTACACACATTATTTTATTCATTCCGCCAACTCGATTTAAGAGGCGTTTTACTCGATGCTCGCTAAAATTTTAATTAATCGAAGCCGAAAATGTCACATAAGTTTACTGTATTCCAATTAAAATTAAAATATCTGCTGAGAATTAACGATTATACGGAAATTTCTGATTAAATAATTTTATTATAATTTCTTTTATTTCATTTGCGTTTAATATAAAGGATATAAAAAATTTAATTATTTGCATAGACACTATTATAATATATCTGATGTCTTTTTACATTTGTATTTTTTTTCGGATTTTCTTAGAAGGTTTTTTAGATTTAAATTATTCTAATTTTTATTCTAATTAAATTAATAATTTAAATTATTCTTATTTTTTTCTCTGTGCATGGTAATACAAGAGATTTAGAATAATTTTTCTTATCGATACTCCATAATAGCGTTTAACGATTACGCCACCAGGTATCGCGACAATGCAGTTTCTCGCATTTATTTCCGGAGGATGTTCGCAGGCGCACAGTCGTAAGGTTTAATGAACCCCAGTGAATCCATGAACGTATCCTCGATATCTATTATGGAATTATTTACAATGGATCGAAATTGTTCAATTATTTTCTAGATTTCTATTGTATTGTCTAGGGAAAACAAAATAATTATGATCAGAATCCATTTCAAACAATTCTGTAACACATATCGTGAGGATCGATTGTACGTTTTGAAACGCGATGAAAATTACAAAAGTGAGAAAATTCAATAGGTGTTGAATGAAGTTATAAATATTTTAGTGACTCTGCTCACTTTTGTAATTTTTACCGCGTTTCAAGGTATACAATCAATCTTCACACTGTGAATGCACACATCGCGTATATCTGCATCTACACAGTTTTTTGCAAACAATTCTATGAATATACGAGGGTTCTAAGAATATTATTGTATAAGAATAAAAGAATAATAAAAATATGATAATAAGGATGAAAGTAAGAAATAAGATGAATAAATACCGCCGTTTGATGTTGAAGGGCAGAAAAGAATTAACAAATTTTTATTCTTTACAAAAGGGATTTGTTTCCGATTCTTTCGCGCGAAAATCTATGCTTTGTAGTTTTTTTGTATATTCATTTCAAGGAAAATCATCTCTTTATTAGACTCTGCAGATTTTATTTCCTCCAAGCTCTTTCCATTTCGCGCGAAAGATTAATGACGTAAAAACGAATACAAAGTAAGTAAATAATAGAAATAAATGAATCGAATAATGAATGCAGGGATCAAATATTGAGTAAGAGAAACGGGAAATAAAATGAGAATATACACACGATATGTATTTAAGATAAATTTATTCCCCATAGATTTTTTGCTATAAAAATTATTAGAAATTTGATCATATAATGAGCGCCGAAATTAAAACTAACATTATCTTAGCATGTGAAGTTGCTCCGATTTGCGCTAAAATGTTACAATTACATGTATTAATACACTTGTGACGTCACAACACTTGTGATTTTAATCTTACAGACTCAAAAACATTTTTAATATTAATTAACGAAGCTACGTATCTTGGGAGATGAAGTAAGTTTTAAGTATGTTTTTCTAGACTAAGCAAGTTTTAGTTTGAACGCTCTTTTCTGGGCTACTACTTGAATTGTTAATTTGTTTAGAAACATAATGGGGACTCGATATGTTTCACAAGATGTATTTTTAATGGATAAAATTGGCTTCTATATACTTTGTTTACTTTGGTTTTTCTATTGAATTAAATCGATTGCGGCGCGATCGATTGCGGCGCGATCGATTGCAGCGCGATCGATTGTAGCGCGATCGATATCGAATTGGAAAACATTGATCTTCGATTCGTAACGAAAATTAGAAGCGATCATTCTACGATTCTTCTTTGTTCTGAATTTGCACATCAAAGCGAGATGCGCATATACGCGCTGGTCACAGATTTCTTGCGCCTCGGTAAAAAGACAATTACATCTCTACGAAGTGAAGACCGACATCGATGCTTCTTTTCCTTCCGATTCGCATCGAAATGTTTCAACTTTTAACGGCTGACATGGTCTATCTTTCGTCATCGGCTGGTGAAAAGAAAGGGAACCGCGAGTGGTACGTGAGATTTAAATTAGTAACCATTAAAGTCTTTAAAAGAGACATTTGATTCAACGACGCATGAAAAACGGAACAGCGCGCGGCTGGCACACATGTAATATAGGGGTAGTAAGAGTAAACGGCACGGCTATTTAATTTGTGCCTGGCGGCGGTGATGACGGAACGGGAAAGCGACAGTGGTGGCAGCCAGGGTGGCGTAAGGTTACGCGGACCTCTCGCTCTTTGAAGTCGGTGGTTGATGGCGGTTGATCGCCCCGCACCTCACCACCACTACTCCGAGGTGGGCTTGGTGTGTACGCATTGAAGGCTGCTGTTGGAACGCAACCCTTCGAACGGTAGAGAACCTCGAGGATCTCAGGAGAAGGAAAATGAAGTGTGAGGACGATGGTGGTCTCGCGTGCGAAGCTTGAACCGATGTACATCATTCGCGTTTCTTTCAGTCTTTTCCGATGTTTCTTTGGAAAGATCGCACACGTTTTGCTCGCATTTATACACGTGGAAAAAAAGATTTGTTAAAACAACCAAAAACTGTACTGATTCAGCAAATCTACAGTTGTAATATGCGGACAGCTATTTTTCTGTGTTAAATTAGTGAATTTGTATAGCTGAATAAAATTAGCGATTATATTAGATCTATAATTATATTTGTTGTAATTATCTTTGTTAATAATGCAGATAACTTTCTACGAAAATCAATCCAATATATGGATCAAAATTTTTAACAAAACATATTAGCTAAGATGGCGTATACTTTTGTTATTGTAATGAAGAAAACTTATTACATTAACAATTTTCATTATAGCAAAGAATTAACTAAATTAGTATACTGATAATTGCTCACAGACATAAGTTCTTTGTCAAACTATCGATTCCTTTTAGTTATATATTGAACAAAAACTAAATTTTGATATATATATATAT